ATACTCACTACTTAATAAGAGGCTGAATTCTGGCGCTTTCCCACTCCGGTCCAAAGTGAAACTCAACAGACAAAGGGAACTTCCCTCCTTCCCTTTGAACGATCTTGTCCTCCCATTGGTTCCTCTGGTCAGGTGTCAGCTAGGCTAGGTGAACTTCTTAACCCTTTACAGGTAAAAGAGGCATTAACCCTTAACTATCTGTTTATGACACCTACAAATCCACTCAGTCCTACTTCTCGTTCAGCCAATCACTAAGACAAACACGTTTGTTTACATTTACGGGAGAAAATGCTGCGGCTTCTTATTTACAATGTCACCAGAAAGTGAGAACAAACATTTGCATGGGACTTTTGTACCTGGCATTACAAGGTCTTTACATGCCAGATATGCTAAACATTCATATGCCCCTTCATGCTTCAGCCACCATTCCAGAGGACATGCTTCCATGCTGATGATGCTCATTAAAAAAAGAAAAGCGTTAAATAAATTTCTGACTGAACTCCATAGGGGAAAATTGTATGTTTCTGGCTCTATTTTACCCGCATTCTGCCATGTATTTCATGTTCTAGCAGTCTCGGATGATGATTTAGCACATGTTGTTCATTTTAAGAACACTTTCACAGCAAATTTGACAAAACACAAAGAAGGTACCAAAGTGAGATTTCTAAAGATAGCTACAGGACTCGACCCACTTTAGGTTTAAGAATCTAAAGTGCCTTCCAAAATGTGAGAGGGATGGGGTGTGGAGCATGCTTTTCAAAGTCTTAAAAGAGCAACACTCTGATGCGGAAACTACAGAACCCGAAACAACAACAACAAAAAATCAACCTTCTGCTGGTGGCATTTGACTCAGATAATAAAAATGTACATGCATCGGTCCGCAGTGCTTTGGATTGTTATCGAGCAGAATCCGTCATCAGCATGGACGCATGTCCTCTGGAATGGTGGTTGAAGCATAAATGGATATATGAATCTTTAGCGTGTCTGGCATGTAAATATCTTTCGATGCCAGCTACAATAGTGCCATGCAAACACCTGTTCTTACTTTCATGTGACATTGTGAACAAGAAGCAGGCAGCATTATCTCCTGCAAATATAAATAAACTTGTTTCTTTGAGCGATTGGCTGAACAAGAAATAGGAGTGGACTTATAGGCTCTTAAGTTTTACATTGTTTTATTTTTGAATGCAGGATTTTTGGTCCATAATTCTACATGTGAAAGTTCAACTTTCATGATAAAGAGATTGCACTACAGTACTTGTATTAGGTGAATTGAAAAATACTATTTCTTGTTTTTTACAGTGCAAATATTAGTAATAAAAATGTATATAATGTGAGCACTGTCCACTTTGTATTCTGTTATAATTGAAATGAATATATTTGAAAATTTAGAAAACATCCAAAAATATTTAAATAAATGGTATTCTATAATTGTTTAACAGTGCAATTAATCGAGATTAATTTTTTTAAACGCTTGACAGCCCTAATATTTATTTATTTATTTTTAGTCGCGACACATATAGATATATATGTTGCAAAATGAAGCTCTTGTATGTCGAGACATGCCAAAACTATAGTCTCACACACAGTCATAACATTTTGTGGGTAGGTTGGGAGTTAAAAATTTAATTACATAATCACATACAATTTTTCCCCGCAGTAGATGCTATACCTTGGTCCATATTTTCCCTTGCCTCGTTGTCTGCACGTCATCTATGTAGGCCCACTGTGTTTTCATTTACACCATTATACAGTCATATTTATTCCAGATATGCCAGATAGAATTTGTTCCAAAAAACCACACACATCTGCAAGACCCTGTTTAATTCACTGTTGAGGCCTCTATCCAACAAAGTATTTAAGCATATAAATGAGGGCTCTTTCATGCTTGTGTATTTTTAGTCGTACATGTTAATGATATACATGAGTACAATGCCCCAGAAAGAGATAAAAAAGAGATTGTCAAGTTACATAGAGATTCTAAAAGTGCTTTGAGGATGCTGAGTGCACCTGGTGTGTGCACTAGTAAGACTATAAGACATGGTTACCAGAGGTTATGACCCCATACTCATCAGTATAGGTCTGAATTAGGGTTGATTTGTTGTCATGGACGCAATAAAAGAAGTCCGTCCTTTCTTGCTCATGCAGTATTTCAGAATTTTTTTCACTCTGTCTCCCTGAAATAACTTTGCTTGCTCTTGCGTGTAGGTTGTTCAGCACCATTCTCTAGGCTTTTTACACATCTCCCTTTCACAGCATACTGGACACCTCGTCTATTGTTAGCAAAAACTTCATTAATAAATTCCATATTCGAGTGTGTTACATTTGAAAAGCATGTTTTATGCTATTTGCATATGTCTAATGTGAATGGAATGTTGTTAATATCCTGCTATTAAGCTGTTTTTTAAAAGCCACTTCAGAATTTCACAGCTAAAATGCAGTAGACTTTGCCCCACCCTTCACACACACCCCCAAAGTCCATGGAAAATAGCAGTTTTAGTCTAGTAAGTTAACGTGGGCATGAATATGCATTACCATTCATTCTGGGAAGTGCTAGTCTTCAGCAGTTACTTATCTTCTGCTTTTTATTGCGGTCTTCTTCCTTCCTCTCTTTCTAACCCAACATTCTGCAATATTTATCATAAGACAAAGTAGATCTTGCCTGGGAACAGTCAATGACTCTCACATATTTCCTTGATTTTTCAGACATTCGTGTACAGAAGATGATGGTCTAGCAATAATAGTAGGGTTTCTGTTCTTGTGGCTTTGGAATTTAAAAATCACCCTCACTTTAATTTTGTAGACAGTGAAAAAGAGATGGCTTTCCCATTGCATAGTTGCTTTACATAAGTTTCGTTTAAAAGAATATGCATTTACATGTGGATCTATTTAGTGTCTATAGTGTTTTTTGCCTAAGCAAATTCTTCAAAATGTTACCTCTTTCATATCTGTTTTGTAGCAACTTTATAGAAAGAAGCCAGGGCTGGCTGTTACGTGTGCAAAAATACCTCAAAATATGGACAAAAATCGATACAAAGATGTTCTACCTTGTGAGTATTAAGTACAAAATTTGACTGTTTTCTTTTATCCCCTAAATAATGCTTTACATGTTATAAAACCACCACATTGAATTTTGCCATTAGTGAATTTATTATATAATCAAAGTTTTGTAATTGTGCATCCATGTTACATTCTAAAACACTTCTATGCTTTGTTCATGTGCCTGTAATCCAAATGCCTGTGATCACTTGGTTATTTGACCTAATGAAAGGAGGTGATAATAAAGCACGCCACCCAGTTGTTAATTACTTTTTTTTTTTTAACATAGATGATGCCACACGGATAATATTGCAGGGAAACGAAGATTACATTAATGCAAATTATGTGAATGTAAGTTATACAGGCATCCATATTAATTATAGAAAGAAATGAATAATATAGCGGCAAAGTTATTTATTTATTCATTTATTTATTTAATTCCAAAAAGCCTAACGTTTTGTTCACTGTAACTTTAGGAGCTCATAAGTAGCTTAAAGTGCTTCGTTAGGAATGCAAATATTTATACTGGTAGACAGGAGGCTTAAGCACATGGAAACCATTAGCAGATGTGCAGGGTTGTTTTTAATAAGTAAAAGCGGTTAGACAGTTTCATATATATTGCATCAATTTTTAAGGCCAGTAATTTTGTGGGATTTAATAATTAGTATGTGTCTAATAATGTATATCTAGGATTATAGGCACCTGCTGCTGGAGTGTTGCACTGGGGTGAGAAAAGGCTCTAGCAGGAGGAGGCGCCGGGGAGGCAACATAACACTACACTGCTAAAAACAGCAGTGTAGACTGGGAGGCACTGCTTGGGCATATAGAGAGCAGTGTAGGCTATATTCCCTGGGGGGTTCAGGTGTGTAGGACACTTGACTCTACTCTACTCTCTTACACGGTGCCTCACCATCTACACTGCTATTTATAACTACTGGCTGGGTGTGCAGTATCTGTACTCTATGTTTCGCAGTAAGTGTAGACTCACTTTAAAAAGAATGAATGTTTCCCTGCTTGCACTTGTCTGCATTTTTTCAGCATATTCTCAAGAGGACTTGGGGCCTGACTGCCACTTAGAAACATGCAGGGGATGGTGTGCCAGCCAGACCAGTAGCCAGTCCCCAAACCTAGCATTCTCTTAAACATAAGATTTCAATAATGCCTTACTGCTTTGGATTCAAGAGGAAAAGGCTCTTTGTGCCTCCTTCCCACTTTATTAAATTTACTCAGTAAAGGGAAGGATATTTCTTACAACCTTATAAATAAGCCTCCCTTAATGTGTTACTCAGTGTGAGGGCATTTCAAAGCTTTCATGCCAAGAGCTACAGTCTGACCTGAGTATGCTTTAATATTCAACAACTTAAGGGTGGTTCAGAAGCTTCCCAAGACATTGATAAATGATAACTTTGTTTCCAACGGTACAAGCCCTATGTATTGATACTTTCACTTTTTTGCCATCAATGCAACACACACTAAGTATTTTCTAAATGATATCTTTATTTTAGGGTATGTCAATACTGCAGTTGGAGATTTGATTTGCATCTTGTGTAAACACACATGCACTAGCTTTAATCTAAATGGAGGGATAAAAATAGCAGTGAAGCTGTGATAACATGGGCTTCAGTATCGGTTAGAAATGCAAGTATGTGCCCAGGGTTTCCAGGCAGGCTTGCACAGCCTGTGCTGAAGACTGTGTTGCCATGAACAACCACACAATCTAGGGCAGGTGATCCCCCTTTGAGTCAACATTACACATCAATTTACTGTAACTATAAGCAGTCTGCAATGCATGCTCACGTTTTTTACCTCTGATTAGGAGCAAGACCATCAAGGTACTGAAAGACCACATCGCTTGCATGTTTTATATAAATCATCAAGGAGGAGCAAGGTTACACTCCCTTTGCACTGAAGCACTGAGATTATGAAACTGGTGCATCCATCATAACGTCAACATATCAGCTACCTGTCTACCAGGATGTCAGAGTACCACAGCAGATGCACTAAGCAGAAAATTCTCTCAGGACCACAACTGGGAAATAAACACCATGATCTGACAGAATATATCAGACACTGGGGTTTCCCAAGTATAGACCTTTTTGCTACAGCCCAGAATGCCAAGTGTCCACAATTCTGCTCAAGAGCAGGATTGGGCTCCCGATCTCTAGAAGATGCTTTCCTCATCAAATGCGGTGTCCTTCTGCTGTACGCGTTGCCCCCTCCTCCCTTCATATCCAGGGTAATACACAAGATAAAGGCCAAACAATCCGGAGTCATCTTGATAACTCCCACATGGCCCAGACAAACTTGGTTCCCTTACCTGTTGCGGATGGTGGTATGCTCACCACTCGCTCTTCCTCCTCTTCCATATCTCTGGTCTCAGGATGCAGGCCAGGTTCACCACCTGAACCTAGAGATCCTCCACCTGAAGGTATGGTTCCTCCATGGTTCCAGGACAATGAAATGACCTTACATCGGAAGATGTAAGGGACATACGATTAAATAGCAGAAGGTCAACTACATGTTATACTTACCTGCACAAATGGAAGAGATTCCACATAAGGTACCAGAATCGGCAAGCCATGGCTATTACTTCTCCTTGCCACTGGTACTAGATTACATACTGGAGCTAAAGAAATCAAGACTATCATCGAGCTCACTTAGAGTACACCTTGCAGCCATCACAGCTTTCCATCACAAAGTTCATGGGTTCTCAGTTTTCACCCATCTTATCACTAAGTGGTTCCTCAGGGGTATTTGAAACCTTTATCCTGAAATACGAGTTCCCACCCCACCCTGGGACCGTAACCTAGTACTACGCTGTCTCATTGGTCCCCCATTCGAACCCAGGGGAACATGTTCACTTATGCATGTATCGATGAAGGTGGTCTTCCTCGTTGCCATCACATTCGCACAATGAGTGGGAGAACTAGGGGCTGTCAGGGCCAGCTCCAGGCACCAGCGCAGCAACCAGGTGCCTGGGGCAGCCAACGGAAAGGGGCGGCACGTCAGCCATATCTAAGCAGAGGATTTCCAGGTGCGTTCACCTTTGCTACTGTCAACATGATCTGCAACCCCCACCGGGAACTTGAACATGCTCCAGCAGATCGCTCTTCACTTCAGTAGCCTTCCTGAACAATATGTCCATCACGGACATCTGTGAAGTAGCCACCTGGTCATCAGCCCACACCTTCACAGAGCACTGTGCAATTGAGCAAGGCTCGACCTCAGATGCTTTGTTATAGGATTAACTATTTTATCATTGTATACAGATCCAACTCCAAAGACCCATCCTTCCTGCTAGGGATACTGCTCTATAGTCATCTAAAGTGGAGCACCCACAGGGACAGCTCAAAGAAGAGAGGATTACTCACCTTGTGCAGTAACTGAGGTTCTTTGTGATGTCTGCCTTCAGCTTCTGGGGCACATGGCCGTGGGCACATCTGTGATAGCTCTTGCCAAACTTTGCATGAAATGCCTCCAATCATGCTTCAGTTCGGTTTACAGACCGAACAAAGACAAACTCCTATGTATGCCCACCAAAAGTAAACAGTCCTGGCAAACCCTGCATGGGAATCCTGTTTGCGCATCCTTCTCCAATTACTACTTCTCACCACTGATGCATCCCTCATAGGATCACAGTGCAGGGCAAATGGTCTCCATCTGAGACGTGCCTTCACATCAATCTACTCAAGCTCAGAGTGATTAGGAACACATGTGCTCATTTCCTTTTGCTGATCAGAGGTATGCACACAAAGGTCATGACGGACAACATAGCATGCATGTATTACTTAAACCATCAAGACGGCATTACTTACAGAGACAGCTCAATCCAGCCCTCAAATATCTGCCAGACATTGCCTTCAGCTTGCCCTCCCTTTGAATGGAAGCACTAAAGCTATGGAACTGGTGGGTGCATTTCCCACAATGTTACAATATCAGTGGCTTACCTGCCAGTACACAGCATGACAGTGGACAGTCTCCGCTGCAAATTCCCACATGACCAAGAGAGAGAGAGAGATGCAGTGGTATTCCGTGACATATTCTGACAATAGTATCTCAATCTAGTATTAAAAGAAGTGACTAGATTGCCCTTTGAACCCCTGGCCACTTGTTCTTTAATTCATCTTTCCATGAAGAAGGTGTTCCTGATCACCATTACCTCGGCAAGAAGGCTAGAGGAGATAACAGCCGTGATGGCACATCCACCCTTCACAGTGTTTTTCTTCGACAAAGTCACGCTGAGACCATATCCGAAGTTCACCCCAAAGTGACTTCTGCATTTCACGTGAATCAACTCATTCATCTTCCTACCTTTTATCCCAAACCTCACCAGGATAATAGGGAAGCCATCCTCCATACACTCAACATAAGGAGCCTTGTATTTGGACAGGACAACATTTTTTAGAAAAGCTCTGAGACTCTTCGTCTCCATCGCAGACAGGTCTAGAGGCACACGATTTCAGCTCAAAGGCTCTCTATATGGGCCTCAAACTCTATCAAGATCTGTTATCAGATTCGCAATTTAGCACTTCCATCTGTAATCCGCACACATTCTACGAGATTGGTTTCCTCGTCCATCGCCTTCTCAAAGGGTATCCCTATATCCGAAATCTTCAGAGCTGCTACCTGGCCATCTGCACAGACATTTGCCGAACACTATGCCATCCTGGGGGACTCTGCTGTAGACGCCACATTCAGTGCCACAATGCTATCATCCATCACAGACCCGACTCTGAAGCCCCAGCCTCCAGTAGGGCATACTTCTCAGGAGTCACCTACAGTGGAGCACTCATAGGGACACTATTCAAAGAAGAAGTAATCACCTTGTGCAGTAACAATGGTTCTTCAAGATGTGTCCCCCTTGGGTGCTCCATGACCCACCCTCCTCCCCTCTACTTCAGAGTTCTCATCATACGCTCTGTGGTAGAGAAGGAACTGAGGAGGCTTTGCCCGTCCAACACTGGATAGTCTTATGGCAGACCACAAGGTGGGGGTGGGGAGGCAGTGCATGTGTGGGCCAAATGGACACTGCTACTAAAATTCTCCAATCAGCAGTGCAGGGACACAGATACACCTACAGTGAAGTCCACAAACCAAACTCCACCTACTTGAGACACCAAAAAGTGATTCTACTCTCTTAGCAGATATGCATAATGTCGATCTCCTTTCTCATTTGCTTTGATTAGCAATGAAATAATCAAGTTGGCACTTAAATCATCATAATTAGATTTCAGAGTTAATCGCATATTGAAATGAACAGGGTCAGTTTATATTTCTCTGAGAGTAATTATTTAAGGCTAACTCCAGATTTGGGCCACCTCACTGCATCAGTTCACCTTCTGAAGGTTTTCTTTTCAACCATGAGAGAGAGAGAGACTTTTTTAATAAACGATCATGTATATTCTGGATCACAAGAAGACATTCTCCAGATAAATTTACCAGTTTATCAAACCACCACATATCAGCACAGTTTGACCCCTGCAACTGGGTTTTAGGTCATGAATGGGAAAAGTGTTGAGAACTGCTGCTGTAGTTTACATTTCTAGCAGCTGAGAAGCTAAATATAGAGGGTAAATGTTGGGAAGCAGAAGAAAACTTGAGATTTTTTTTGTAAGTATATTTTTTCTTTTAAAATGTGGGAGGGATAATAAAGAATTATAGGTTGTAAAATTGTAAAACAGGATAAGTAAAACATTTTCAGGAGAATTCAAAATGTCTGCCTGTTGAGAGTAAATTTAGCAAGTCAGTACATAACCTTTCATTTTAGATTAAGTTGTAATTATTTGTATGCTACACTTATCAGTTTGTAAAGGGCTTCAGGGATCTGAGTGAGTTTATAACTAGGTTTCATTTTTGTGCAGAAAAATAATTTAAAAGAAATTGCTGTGTTTCAGCATGTGATTTTGGTCCATTTTAAATTAATAATCAAATATTGTGATATTCTGTAAGATATTTAAAGTGAACTTGTTAATCTTGTTACTCAACTTGTTTCTTTAAACTTCCTTCAGAAGATCATCTTTGTGAAAATTATTTTAAACAAGAAAACAATATTACATTTGGCATTTGAGTAATGAGATGGGTGTTTTTTCTCCTGACAGATGGAAATTCCTTCTGCTGGCATTGTGAACAGATATATCGCCACTCAAGGTCCTCTTCCACATACCTGCGCACATTTCTGGCAGGTAGTCTGGGATCATAGGTTATCGCTGATCATCATGTTGACAACCCTCACCGAACGAGGACGGGTAAGCATGTATATCCTCTCTTGAAGCTTGCAGTTCACATCAGTCCCAAAGTAATTAAACATTTATGTCTAAATTGTGTTTTGGTCTTGGCTATTGAAGCTGGTTTACACTGAAATCCTTTCTGCTAAAGAAGCTTGTGTATCTTCCTTCCTTTTTGAACTTGGTTTCTTATCCCCTCTCCTGAATAAATAACTCTGCAACAGTTAGGCCTGCTGCTTGTTTCCTGCCACTCTGTGTGAGAAAATGTATAAAATATTAGAATGGCAGATTCTGATACCTGCTTTTCTGAAAACATCATGTGAGAGGAGTTAGAGAATGCCCTCTAAAGCATATAGCCAAAATTTAGTCTAGTTAAATTACTTATCTTGTTGAGAATCTGTGAAAAAATATTTTGACTCCTTTCTTAAAACTGCTTTGAAGAATCTGTTAGAGAACCGATTTACTAAATTATGGTTTTGAAATCAGTTCATAGACTCTTCAAGTCATAGGAAATCCAAAAGTGCAAATATATCTATATCCAGTGTACAATATATTTGCTCTCTAATTTATCATATGCATGAGGTGAAAAATCCCTTTACCTCTAAAACAGTGGTCCCCAAACTTTTTCAGAGAGCGAGGCCACAGTCAGGAGCAGGGCCCCGAAGCTGTGGCTGGGGCTGGGAGTGAAGCTGGGACTGGGGGTGGGGCCAGAGCCGGAGTGGAGCTGGGATCAGAGTGTGGGCTGGGTGGCACTCCCTCGCCACCCCTTGCAGGGGCTGGCCCAGGCTCTGCCATGCACCCCCGAATGGTCTCACGCCCCACAGTTTGGGGACCACTGTTCTAAAAAATGACCAGCTAGTGCAGAGATGGGCAAACTTTTTGGCCCGAGGGCCACATCTGAGTATGGAAATTGTATGGTGGGCCATGAATGCTCACAAAATTGGAGGTTGGGGGTGCAGGGCGGGGTGAGGGCTCTGGCTGGGGCTAGGGATGAGGGTTTGGGGGTACAGGAGGGTGCTCCGGGCTGGGACTGAGGTGTTCAGAGGGAGGGAGGGGGATCAGGGCTGGGGCAGGGAGTTGGAGTGCAGGAGGGGGTCAGGGGTGCAGGCTCCAGGCGGCGCTTACCTCAAGCAGCTCCCAGAAGCAGTGGCATGTCCCCCCTCCGGCTTCTACAGGGAGGTGCGGCCAGGTGGCTCTGCGCGCTGTCCAGTCTGCAGACGCCACCCCTGCAGCTCCCATGGGCCACGGGAGCTCGAGGGCTGGATTAAAACGTCTGGAGAGCCGGATGCAGCCCCCGGGCCATAGTTTGCCCACCCCTGAGCTAGTGAATGGATGACATAGAAACTTGCTGTGTTTAAGGATTCGGAGGCAGATCAAATAGGGAGCACTGCTCTGAGAAGTAAAGGTTCTTCTTTGAGTGCGTGTTCTGTCCATTCCATGCTAGGTGTGTGCACGCCACGTGCACAGTTGCCAGAGATTTTTCCCTTAGTGGTATCTGTAGGATCGGCTCTAGCGTCCTCTGGAGCCGTGCACCTATGCGCCGGCATAAGGAGCCCTGCCAGCCTTGCACCTCTCAGTTCCTTCTTACTACCCACGACAATTGCCTGGAACTATCCTTCTTGCTCTTGCAAGGCTTCTTTCCCAATGGTTTGAACTTTTCTGTCATATATTGCAGAGTTATTGTAGTTAGTGTATATAGTTCTTAGTGTCCATTCCATGACCCACCCTCCTACCCCTCTGTCAGAGTTACTGGCAAGAAGGAAGTGAGAGGGTGCGGGCACATACGCGCACGGCTCCAGAGGGCACTAGAGCCAGTCCTACGGATACCACTAACGAAAAAATCTCTGGCAACTCTGCATGTGGCACACTCACACCTAGCATGGAATGGACATTAGCAACACATGTCAAAGAACAACAGTTATGAATGGTTAGTAACTGTTTTTTTCTGGCATCTGGGAGGTGGGAGAGATCATGACTTTTGCCTGCCTTCCTACTGATAGAAATCCTCCTCAACCATTAGCTGTGTTTCCAAAGTAAACTCTCAATGCACTGTCAATTCCTGAAACTGACAGTCCGGTTGGGAATCTGGTTTGGGAGCTGGTTTATTTGGGAGTGAATATTTGGAGGTTCAATTTAAGACACTGATTGGGAAGTAAGTGAGAGCAGCTGAAGGAAGGCAGGGAAGTTCGAGCAGACTTATAAATTCTGAAGACAGAGTTAAGAGTTTGTTCTTCAATTCCTTAGTGAGGACAAGTCCTTAAAGCCATAAGGGTTAAGGCATGATCCTTAGGTACAGTCAAGTATACACAGCCATTCACAGAAGCATAATTAAAAACCTTAACTCTGGCAACAGTTGTTTCGCCATCTCAAAGAGTAATTTTGGATTTGTGACACTTCAGCAAGGACAAAGTTTTATTACAACTAGTATAAATACAGTAACAAAGGTATTGAATATGCCAGTGATGGCCACCCATTCACTGAACTACGAATGGGTCCCGTAGAAAAAAAATTGTATGTAACCATACCATAATACTAGGTGACTGTATCATAATGCGTACACGCACGGGGTTGGGGGCGGGGGCAAATTAAGGTTGCCTGGGCAACCTTAAATTGGCATTTCCCAACTTCTGAGTGCTTGATTTCACAACCGTCATCTTTCAGATATAATTTCCAAGTTTCTTAAAAAATAAACAAAAAACAGAAATAACATGTTAAACCATTTAGACCCCTAGCTTAGGTCACCAGTAGCATCTGCATCTTTAAATCCAAAGCACGGATCTCCATTGCCTGAGCTAACGGAATAACTGGTAAGATTGCTCTCCTTTTTGTGGACCAAACACTTGAAGGGGATGAGAGACACATTTAGCCAATGGGTTTCACAGGTATGTAGTGGCAGCTGAGAAATGTAGACACTCGGAACACCAGTGTTCAGTTCCAGGTTCTGGAAGAGTGTGCTCCCTAGTTCCCCCTTCCTCTGCTGCCCCCTTCTTCCCATGTCTCCCCCTTTTTCCACACTCCTCTGCATTCTAGTTAGGTGGCTTCCCCCTTGTCCAGGCTGCCTACAGCAGGAAGAGTGCAGGACAATCTCCCTGCTCTTAGTTATGATGCCTGGCACCCAGCTGTCCAGAGGAGCCATTGTAAAGAAAGTACTGCAAGCCCTGGGCTGTAGAATGCCCAGTGCAGATGGAACCTTCAGAGAATTCAGCTGCCAAACTCTAACCAGTCTCCACTGAGCATGTGTGAACTGCGACTTTTTGGAGGCCTGTAAGTTAGCCAAATTTGGGCAATTTTTTTGGTTACAAAAAGCACATCTGACACCAAGACCGCCCCATGCTAAATTACAAGCCCTCCCTCGAAGCACAGAGGCACTAACCTCAATGAAATATCTGTACTACGTTTTTTTTTTAACATGGGCAAAATGTATTTCCTGTCATTTCATTTTCAGAAATGACTGAATTATTTCAGTTGAAATTAAAAAATAAAAGCCTGAGGCAAGCAGTCAACATGAAATATTTTAATCCTAATAGTTAAAGTTTGGCAAAGTTATAAGCAACTGAAAGCAGAGTCTTATATTGGAAAGGGTGAGGAACTTAACTATAAGTGGCACTAAAAACTTCACCTGTAATATTTTAACATATAAAATATAGTTAGAATATATATAATTTATAATGTATCTATGTGTGTGGATAGAGAGCACCAAATTGACACATACTGAAATGTAACACTGTTGTTGGAAATCCTACTTCATTGTTTTAATGGATCAAATAGAAATACGTTATTGGGTTGTCTGCCCTCCAGTTGCTTGCATGTACTCACCACTACAACTCAGCCAGGCTTCTCCAGACAGTCAGAAATTGCATTCATAAATACAATTTCCAGCTTTTTAGACTAAGATGATTTCAGGCCACACACAACTGTCTTGCATGTCCCCAGATATTTTGGTAGTGCTTCTTTGATGGGCACAATGGAGGAGGACCCTGCAAAGCATTTAGATTTATTCTGTTTCTGTCTGTTAAAATGATGGCAGTTAATTACAGATATCTACAAGGTGAAAATGTGTTTAAACAGATTAGATATTTCTTTACTGAAGCCTGAGATATTCTAGGAATGTCTCACCAGCATAGTTTTTCAGTACAGTGTTTTCCATGGCACTTAATCCCTTTGATTAGATGGGTGGTGACACTACACTCCTGTCATTCATACTGCTCCAGCCATTAAACACCATTGCCCTTCAGACAGAGATAGAACCCAGGAGTCCTGATTCCAACTTTCTATTTCTTTCTACCAAATAGTTGTGTAACTTGCTGCCTAAATGTGCATCACATTCCTCCCTAGAGGCTGGACTGCAAAAAAAAATAAGATAATCCTGTAGCTTCAAGGGTAAAGATCTGTGTGGGAATCTGAAGGTCCAGAATTCAGACCCTTCTGATAACCTGTGTGTGAGGGTGCGTAGGAGGGGGGTCCTTATGACTGCATTTGATGGAATTTGTTGATTTTTTTTTTAAACTAGCTCATTTAATTCACACAATGAGAAAAAAGCCTTTTCTCATGGTGTTATAGTTAAAAACCTTTATAAATGTCACTTATGGCATGACATACAACAAACCACAGGTGTTCCACATTTCTATAGTTTGTCACTCATTGTGATTGCTTGTATCACACACTGGCAAGCCTGACGGTTGAGAGGTGTACCCTTGCATGAAACCCCTCTGGGCCACAGATGGCAACTTTCACTTTCCTGTATCAACAGGAGTGATTTTGACCCTTGGTTCCTAAATTCAGCCTGTAAATTGAGGCATAATTAATCATTTACGGGGAGGATTTTTTTCCAGTTCAGTCTTACATGTTTCACTTCAAAAAGAAATATTCATATGTTCAACAACTGACACACTCTCATTTCCGTGAACCAAAGTTGCTTGTCAGTTTTCCCAGTTTCTTAACTCAGTTTTCCCCATCAGGCATGAAGGATGATTCTTTTCAGATACCCCAATCATTATATCTGAGTATGCCTCTGCTAGTTT